ACTACATCCGGCCTTTCATTGTCTCCAAGATTTAAGCCCTACATCAGATATCATATTTGTTCGACTGCGCCTTTGTTTTTACGATCACTTGTGGTCTATAATTGAATATTGAATGACGATTCAATGCATTGTCTTTTATTTGTAATATACATCGTTTTCTAGGATTGTTTCAGTAATTTATTTGTTTATTTGTTAGTTGATTTATTTTGTAGTAGTTTTTCACGGACGTTTGCAACTCTGAATATTCATTAGTCACAGGCAATACTCATGCAAAAATCAAAACATCATTATAATGAATTAACATTAATTACTTCAGTACATTAGTGCATAGTTAATGTAGTTTTCAATAAAGTTTTCACTTCGTTTTCAAGGTATTTGTTTCAAATTCAAAGTGTTTCTGTAATGAAATAAAATGAATAAATAATAGTGTAAATATTACAGTCTATTTTTTATTGAAAAACAATACCTTCTAATACACCAAAATATTCCTATTTTGTGACTGAAACTAAATTAATAATCCCAAATAAGGTTATATTTATATAATGGTTGGTTATTCCTAAGCTTTACTTATAAACTTAGTCGTGCTAAAAAAGGCTAGTACCATATAAAATATAAATATTTTTTTAGAATTGCAAAAACCTTATCTGACAGCTTCAAGTTCTCAGATGGGAATTATTTAATAATGTTAATTAAGAGCAACTAATGTCAACAATTCCATTCGCATATTCGCGATGTACCAAACAAGGACGTGAACGTTTCCGCGTTGAATCATTAGTCCATGGGACAAATTACAAGTTGATAATGTTTATATTATGATAAACACGTGCATAGGTATATTATTGCTTGTAGGCACGTTGCTTAATTTATTTGACAAGAACACTAAAACTGTATTTAATATACTGTTACTAATATCTAGTATTTATAACTGCTTCCTGCAAATTTAATATATATCTACTTATTTCAATAAAATCTTTAAAAAGCAGTAGAAGCAGTAATGAAACTGTTTTTTGACCAGACAAGCTTTTTATATTTCTCGTCTGTTTTTTTTCTTTCTATTAATGTAAAAAAATGTTCTAATACGACGAAAACAAATACCTATCTATAATTTGAAGTATATGAAATTACGAAGTAATTTTATTTCAATTATACATTTAATTACACATCCAATTAATAATTTATTATTTTAGTTACATTAGTTGGGTAATAAAATTATTTTTATTACTTTTACAATAATTTTCTAAAATCTACATGATCATGTCCATCAGTTAGTATTTTGTCTTATGTATATATAATAATTCTCAATTTTATTAACAACAAACATCTTATCTTAGCAGCTTCCGCCTGTCGCTTAAGTCAGAATTAAAATGCACACACAAATGCAAACTGACTCATGTTGGCCTTGAAATAGACCAGTCTAATCGTAGTTTTAGCCAATCAGTAGTCGACACACGCTTCACAACCATCCTTTGTTTATTATCGTCGGTTTTGTCACGCCATTTTGTTAAAATGACCTTTTGTTGTCATTTATACAATTTATTTTTTTTATTTTTTATAATTGCATTTAGTTATCCCACTATGACATTACTCATTAAAATTTTATTCAGTCAGACCCAAAATCTTAATTAAAATTTGAGCCGGGAGATGTTTAATAAAAGTGTAGGTACTTGTACAAAATGGAAAAAAATTAAATAAGCTGTAAATGCATATGTTTAGACAATTATGTACTGGCAAAACCTCCAAAAGGGGAGGTCTATGTTCCTTATGGACAGTTAACGGCTGACACCATATACTCAGTATGGAAAAAAATCATTATTGAGTTATCGTCTATGGAGAACAAATATACAAAAACAATAAGAAATACCGCTATTTATTATACTTACGTTTTTCTAAAGTAAAACATCGTCATTGAAATATAAATAACATATTCATGTATTACCTACTTATTGTAGCAAACAAATATAAATAATTTATCTATGTATATTTATTTCTTTAAACGTTCAAGGCAAATGATGCTTATAAAATTTATAATTAATTTATTTAATATTTTTTCTATATTTAAAAAAAAAAACATAAAGCCGTAATCATTTTAATAATTGAACAAAAAGAAATCAACAAAAGAACGATGCTGTAGATTTTAAAAGACATTAGCTCCTCCGATTTACTTGAAAGCGGGTGTAATGTGTAATTATTTTTTTATTATTCCCTGCCATGGGAGTTCAACGCCATGCATTAATTACAATATTAACATGTGAGGGTTTCGCTTCAGTTAGCCTTCTTAGTTAGATAATAGACACAGTTTTGTAACGTTTAAAAATTCTTTTATATATACCTCGTTCACGATTTTGTTCTCTTTCGCTGCATTACGCTACGTTACTTTAAAATATATCTTTTGCCTTTAAAAATGGTAAGGTATGCATTCTTGAATTTTATTACAGTGGTGTTCTGAATACAAAAAAAAAATGTTGTTTTTATTTTTTCGTTTATTTGTTATAGATAAGTTCCTTCCTATTGATTTAGAAAAAAAAAGAAATGGTAAAGAATTTTATTTTGTTATATATTTCACCATTAAAAATGTTGACGATCTCTATAAACGGACGCTATAGACAGCTCTTCGTTTTTTCAAAGCCAATGTTTTATGAATGCAATTCAAAACTATGGTTTTTTTATTACTTTTTTTTAACTATTGCGTACGACTTGAACGGTAGTTGATAGCGAGGTAATAAATTATACTTGTTGTAGGTATGCAAATACTTGCACCCATCTCCAGCCTATTTTAAAATGCATATTAACCTATAGATCTAGTTTTTGTAAAGAATTTGATAGGTGCATATTAGAAAACAGGAATAAAAACTGGCCGTAAACTGTAAAATCGATAATTACATTTTTTTAGTACTTATTTGACTCCACCAAACAATATTAGTTATATCAAGTCATGTCATCGGCGAAATTGCAAAGAAGCAATACACGAATATTTATGTGATGCAATCCCCGAATTTCCGAAGGTAGTTTAAAAGAGGTATATATTTTTTTTCGAATCCACAAAAATTTAATTAATTTTGAAATAGATGGTAAGTGAATATAAAAAAAATATATTAAACTTCTGTCGAAGGCCTAACAACATACACGCAACATTCTATATAAAATAAACATCATATGACGTAGGCCGTATGCTTGATTATTACTTTTGTAAAATAATAACACGGAAATGTTCCGTTATGTTGCCCTTAGTACATTCCTGTACCGTGCTACGGTAGCAATACAAAATTTATCTCCGCAATAAACAGCTATAGTGTGTAATTAATATCCTATAATTATTTGCTGGCGAAACGAAAACATCAAACGTGGGTAATAAATTCATACGAATGAAGTTTGTCGACATTTTGTCATGTGAAAGCTGTATTTTTTATAGTTTGAAAGCTATTCATAATTACAAGAGTTAATTAATACTGAGTAATTATTGTTTGGTGATTGTTAATGTTGATTTGGTACTTTTAAATCACGGATATGTCAAGTTACATTCCAGTTATAATGATATGTTAGAAATAATTTATGTATATATTTTCGATTTTTTAAGTAAAAATAAATAATATTATTATTAAAATATTATACATATATTATTAAGAGAATAAATTATAATAAATAAATCTGATGTTACATTTAATAAATAATATTTGGACTACATATTTTTCTTTTGTTAAGAAAATTGATTTTATTTGAAATTATTCTACCTATAGGTATATCTTTTAAGGTTTTTTTTTTCCTTTTGAGCTAGGTAGAGAGCACAAATATAACTTGCTTTAGAGGTTATATTACAAAAGTGTGATTAAACATCTTTTTATTCATTATAAAATGTAAAATTTTTAATAATTGTTTAAATAATTTTGATATATTTGATAAGTTTTCTAAATTAATAAACTGGTTCTCGTAATTATATTGTTTAAGTTTCTTTGTCAAGAATTTTTTATATTGTGTTGTGGTTTTCCCATAATTTTCTCTGTTTAATAGGCTTTTATTTAATTTTGCTTGTTTGTATCTTTAGGTTAATCCTTAGGTACACTTACCTTTTTTATTTAGTTTCCGCTAATGCATTAAAATTTTATACACATTATTCTAATGCGCTGAATTAGATATCCAAGAGCGGATGCCACATTAGACTTGAAAGATTGCTCGTCTTTCAAATCTGGCCACTGATAGAATTACCACTATAGTACCTTTTTTTAACGCGAAGAAATATCCCTAAGACTGTCCCAACTGCCGAAGGAAATTCATGAGTGTGTGGGATTTTTTACCAACTAAATCCTCGTGCGTACATCGAGGCGCAATGCTGGATCCCCAGGGTTCTCGTTTATAGACGATCCAGGAATCACTGCAGCACTAATTTGTATATGTAATGAGTAATTGTAATAAACGAATGCTTAATGACTAGGGTCTGATTCATATAGCTCGAAATTCATCACAAAATATACCTATTTGTAAAAGCTTATGTTGCCAAAATGTTATGTAATTTAGAATAGCAAACAAGATTACGACTCACCAGATGCAAAGCGGTAACCATTGCCTATACTTTGACTTGAACAGCACCATAAACATAACAGAATATAATGTGTCGCACATGATATGCTCCATTCGTTGCCATTCTTGAGGACTACGGTATTATGCTTCTGTACCTACCCTATAATTTTACTACCATATCCCACATTTAAAACCAAAATAGAGCCATGCAAACACAACCGTTTCATGACAGAATCACGGATTTGTATTTTATTAGTGCATTCAAAAAAAAAATTATTCTAAATTTACTTGTACTTTTAGACGCATGCTACTCGTATGTGCAAGATCTTGCATAATTTCTGAACTGTTTTTAATATATTTTTTTTACAATTGATTTGAATTCCTGCTAAATTGTCTTAAATTAATTGTCCCTTGTCAGTTCCAAGTGAATTTACTTACTATATTATAGTCGTGGTTTTATATTAAATTTTTATGTATATCTATTCTAGGTCTAGAACGGGTGGCGGAGGAGTTGATGGGTCGAAGAAAATGGAAACTATATCAGGACGCGTTAGTACCCAAGCGCACCGAGGCCGAACGATCCAGCGACGAAGAATCCATGCCTGCCACCGACCCCCCTCCCGCGCTCAAAATAAAGACTATAGAGCAGATCAACGCGCCAGAAGACGAGAGGCCGAAAGCCGAACCGGAGACAGAAGCCGAGCCGGAGAAGACGAGGCGGCCAGAGACCATTCTAGAGAGTCTGATCAAGCGGCCAGCCACTCAACCCAAATTGGAGGTGCCAGAGGAACCAGCAGATTGGAAGCCACCAGACAAGTGTTATTTTTGTGTGGACGGAGAGAGGGGTGAGGCGACGGCAGCGGAGGGCAGGCAAGCGGGCGGCGCGACGGTAAGTACCGCCCTGTACAATTTTTGGCAACCAATTCGAATTATCGATTAGATTAATTTCGTAGTAATGTGATCACGAATACGACGGTATCTTCCTACCTATAAAAATTCATATTTAGTATTATCAATCGGTAATATCTAGTTTTAAGCCATAGTACTATAAAAAAATAATAATATACTTCACGCTATAATTCCTGATTGAGTCGTTAGATATTTCACAACTATAATTCTTTTTGAAATACGTATGTCTTTATAAGAATAATAATCCTACTTAGATACTGAGTACAAGTAAAACTCCTATATTATAGAGGGAAGAAAGATCGCTAGTAATGAGGACTAGCAGTCCCATTACTAGTAATATACCTTTTCACATCGACCTTCACGCGGCTCCTCCTGGAAACCATCGTGTTGTTGAATTTGTTCAATTCGTCATGATGGGCCAAATGAACTATTTTTGTCTTCACTTATTATCTCTCACTGATGTCCGTGCGCATTTTAATAGCGCAAAAAGGTGTACCATGTTATATTAAAAAAAAATATTTATATGCAATTTCAAATAGCAAACAAATTGGCATATTACCTGTTAGAAAGTGATAACCATCGTCTATACATATGTACAGTAAATTCCTATATTATAAAGAAAAATGCTAAATTGGTTAACGAATCACGAATTTTACAGACATTACTATTTAAAAATAAACTTACTGTTAATGTTTATAGTATTTACTAAAACGCATTACATTAAGTCCCGAAAATAAATATCGATATGTGTAACAAATGGAAAATTTATTAATAATAGCAAATATATCTATATCCAAAAATGTCTCGATTCCAAATATTATGTATATAAACGTAGAAGAAAAATTTATATACGGAATAAATAAAATCCAAAACTGTATAGCAATAAGAGTTCAAGATAAGCCTCCAGTGACTAGAACAAGCGACGAACGACAACGTGCGCGAATTTCCTCAGCTCAATAACCGAGTGGGAACCTTGAACCAGATTGTGGACGATTAGCCGGCCAGATGTTCAGAGAAGGCAGACCAGTGTTACACTTTATCTTATTCCAATGAATGTAAAGTTCAAAATTAGACAAAGAGTTAAAATTAAACGCAACCACATGTATGACAGTAGTACGAGTAGAAATAAAGTCTGAATACAGTCAATGTTATTGGTTATTGGAATCTATGAGTGGAAAAGAGATTGGATTAAAATTAAAAACAAGTGCGTTCTATTGATATAAGTGTGTATATATGTTTACTACTAAACATACACGTTTCAATAAAAAAAAAAGGAAATTGAATTTTAATAATTTAAATACCATACAATATATATATCATCATATCAGCCATTATCTGTCCACTGCTAAACATAGGCCTACCATAGTCTATAGAGACTGCATAAGGAACAGTCTTAAGCCATCTGCATCTACTGTCTTCCTTCAGTGCATTTGAGGTCATCACTCCATTTGGTGAAGTGTCGTCCTACACTACGTTTGCTCGTACGGGTTAGTCACTCAAGAAACTTTCTTTTCCAACCCATTGCAATTACAGCTTGCTTATTCTTCAGTCTATGTCGGCCACTTTAGTTCTTTTGTAGATATACTCATTTCGGATGCGCGCAAAGATTTCTTGAGCATAACATACAATATATATTGCATCTTTTAAATAGACATGGGGAACATCAGTATAATTTCGATGTGTACTGTGTACTTACCTCTAAATATTAATGGAGAAATAAATGTTTATCACCCATTTTGATATCGCTTATACCAATCGGATATACATATTCATTTCGATCAGATACTGAATAACCGATATTTAATATATCCGTTAGTCAGCCAATATACAAATAGTGTAATAAAATATATAGATATTGCTATATACGAGCCCACCACTATTTTTAAGTAGGTATATCTAGGAAGATCTCTACAAGTGCAATAATTTAATACGCAATATATACTAAATAGGTTTAGTTCGTGAGTCAGTGCTGAATTATTCAATGATTACCGCTCTTTGAATGTCAAGGCTACTAAGGTGCAGTCATTTTGAATCATGTGATGTTAAGTTAGATGTAGATGCATGATTATTACTAACTAGATGAACCGGAACTGGACTAGTTTTATAATCTTTGCCATATTAGCTTTAATAATAAGACGTGTCGATAGATTGTCGCGACTCGAGATCTCGTATTGATTATATACGAGTGTTTAATTAAAAAAAAATACTAAGACTCATTATTTTGTAGTTTTTTATTAATATTAATAATTTTTTTCTACACAAGATAAGAACCACTTTACTAATGTTAAAATAAACAAATCGCATTAATATGTTTCTTCTTCAACTCAGTTTAAAGATCCCAATTTTAGAAACTATGATGGTACAAAGTTAGAGATGGCATACATTATTAAATCATATTCTTTCTTTTTGCATTGGGGATTAAAGTAGGTAATATTTTTTTTATATTAAGAAAATTAAGACAAGATCAAAGAGATAAAACAAAATAAATCTTTCAGACAGATACCTACTTATTTTGCCGCTCTGGAAAAAATATTTGTCGCCTTTTTATTTAAATGACCATGTTAATTTCAGTGAACTCATTTTACTCCTCGAACTATTTGCCCAGTGTACGCCCCCTGGATCGGGCCTTGCCTTCAATATTCTAGAAATACTACAAGTACGCTATAGTTTTTGATCACGCGCCATTTACTTTGCAAATATATGCTTCACAGGTATGGAATATAAAGAATGTTGTTTATTACTACATCAATGTCTGCGATCCATAATTTTTTAAACTTCAATGTTTTACAAGATCCATAAATTAATAGCAAAAAAAAATAATTTAATATTTTTTTCTTATTAACCGTTGTAGTTCCTAACTCGGTTCTTATACAAAAATGTCTATTCGTTTGTCCAAAACAGCCCAGTTTTTAGGTTTATTTCTGATGAGTGATTTGTGTGGTGTGTATGGTCTATAACATACGAGTATAGTACTCTCATGCGATTCGTTTTTTATATATGAATGTGAATACATAATGTAAAATATTATAATTATTACTTGCAACACTGAAAGATGGCATGGTTTGTTTTGTTCAAAAACATTATGCGTCAGGGCAAGCGTTATTGGTTGACCGTTTTTGGATCTCGTTTCTAACACTCGACGCTCCATCTAGACTACCAAGTATGAATATTATAAACATGACCTAGGTTTTCACTTTTGTCTTATGGTTTTTGTTAATGTATTCTAAATCCATATACAACCATTCTACAAATACTCGTATAAAATTTCTGTCTCATATTTCCGTTTATTTTCATGGGAACCAACAAATTGACATTTCAACTGCATAGCGTATAAATCTATGCTTGGAGCCAACAAGAAACAGTTTGGGCATACATTTCTTACAATGGGAAGCTACATATGACGAGTTCAACGAGTTATTGTTCCGTATTCCCACACACATGCGCTATTCAAACTGATATTATTGCGTTTTTGTAAAAAAATACGACACAATAACCGTAATGGTTTCTGAATGACTTCGAAATTATGTAGCAATAAACATGCACTCCCGGAACAAACAATATCTTTTCAGTATTTTACTGAACTAGATGTTATTTTGCGGAAGTACATACCACTAGTTAGTCAATTAAGATTATTTGGATTAATTCCGCTACATATTATACGGTATTAGAACCTATGCGTACGACTGCCAACATTTGAGGACTGACTGCTCTTATTATTAGTAGTAAAAGTTCTATGACCTTTCATATTAGTCATCAATTTCTGACCGTTATTCAGTCTAAGAATCTCTAAACGAGGTGTTTCCCAGTAAATGTATATCGCTATCTGGAATTTAGTGACGACCATTGGGCACCCAGACTGCGAAAATTTTTGTGGGTGCCTTAAAGTTAAAATACGTTTCGCAACATATGTGTAGACTGAACAACGGTCAGAAATTGATGACTAATATGGAAGGTCGTAGAATTTCGAAGTATAAGTTTAAGTTATAAGTTTAAGTTTATCTAGTTCCTTTGTTTGAAAATGTTCAAAATATTGTATACCGCTCTACCCGCTGACATTGATGCTCCTTTCCGCTTTGCTGGAAAAGAACTCTTCTAGAGTTAAGCTCGCCTTTGTACATTTGATTACCTTTGTCATATTTTTATGTATAATTAGTGCGTACAATAAAGTATTAAATTAAATTGAATTAGTAAGAACAGTAGTCAGTCTTGAATTTAGTCTCAAGTTGGCAGCTGCATACATACTCGTACTAATGGTAGCAGAATTAAACAAAATAATTTTAATCGATTAAATACTTTTTAGTGTATTTATAACTCTTACTGAAATAAAAACAAACTCCACGTATATAACTTACGTAGGTACCTAATTTTCAAAATTGGTATATTTACTCTTTTCTAATTTTCATTTAAAGCGTTTTAATAGGTCAGAAGTATAATTATAACAAATTGATGGATCTATAAAGACGATTTTTTTTATAATTACCTAACATTCGCAGCTTTTATCCCATAATTTAAGCATAGAGAAAATTTTCTTTACTCATGAGTTAAGATAAAAGGCACTTCGAAAATGGAGTATCTGAATTCACTTGTATATTTTGTATTATAGTATGCGTTATTTTAGTAACTACAGAATTGATTTTGGTAATAATTTTTTGGCAATTGATAAAATTTACTTCTGTGTTAGCTGATGTTATTTCGGTTACGATAGAAGTCTTACTCACTTTTTTGTCATTTAAGCGTGACCCTATTAAGATATTATTGTAAGAATAATGTATATAAACAACGTATTAAGGTTTTAATTATAATTACTGCGTAAAACAATGAATTCATAATTTATTGTGACAAATATCCACTTCAAGTCACGTTGCGCGTACTTATAGATTCTAAATCTTTATTTTTTATGCTTATTGTATTTTTAAATTATGGAATACAAACATGCAATCAACGTAAAGCAGGACTATTACGCTGTACTGTAAGTGTATT